TTATAAATTTATTAAAATATTTTTAATAAAATTATTTTTTATATTATTTCATCAAAAGTATTATAATTATTTTATATGTTAAATTACACTTTTAATAAATAATCTTATATGCAAAACAAGTATTACTTAATTTTATTCATATAATTAAGATTCACACGTATTTATTTGTGCACATATAACAAATCCTGCTTGAAAATAAAATCTTATGATGAATTTAATTGTTTATATTATTTCATCAAAAGTATTATAATTATTTTATATGTTAAATTACACTTTTAATAAATAATCTTATATGTAAAACAAGAATTATTTAATTTTATTCATATAATTAAGATTCACACGTATTTATTTGTGCACATATAACAAATCCTGCTTGAAAATAAAATCTTATGATGAATTTAAATTTCTATAATAAAACATGAAATACAGTTAAATAAAGAGAGTTTTTAATATTAAGAATTCACTTTTCATTTAATAATTTAAATTATATAGTTTAGATCACATCATATTTGTTTAAAATGTAAATATATAAAAAGTTATTTTTGTGAAAAGTATGACCAAATTAAATAATATGTTGGGGGTGTTGCTTTATGTAGGTGACATATAGTATCCCTTTTGCTTTGGCATCAATCTATTGCTCGACAACTGGTGGAGGTCAAGGGCTCTCCCTGGGAGTGCTAAACTTGTCCATTGTTATTCCACAGGTAAAGGATCAATCATATCCAAAAAAAAATCATGATGAAAAAGAAGTTTCTGTGCTCGGTATCTATATCATTTTCCCTATATGAGAAAATCACTACATGTGTGCGGCCGCGCGTGGATATGTATATGACACATGCATTATTAGAGAATGTATTATTACTTGGCTTATTAGTTTGTGTTACGTGTATGCCAGATGTTTGTTTCGGTAATCGGTGGGCCGCTGGATGACGCATTTGGTGGTAGTAACTTGCCAGCCTTCGTGTTAGGTTCGATTGCAGCTGCGTTGAGTGCATTGATGGCGATTTTTTTGCTTCCAAAGCCTCCCAACCAAGCTTCTCTTGCTCCTGGAATGGGTGGTGGGCACTGAGCCAAAGGCTTTCTTCTACTTTGCTTAACTACCTTGCTTTTGCCTTTTGTCTTTAACCATCATGGTCTTTAATCTTCTTTTCCTCTTCTCTTTTACTTTGGCCTTCATAAGGGTTGAATACACTTCTATGAATTCTCTTTCATATTCTCTATGCTGGAGTTTGCCATACATGTATGCATATATATGGTATTTATTTTATTGATGCATATGAGCAATAACTTATTCCAGGCTTCCAGCTGTTTAACTTAAAATTTCCTCTGTTTTTTTTTTCTTTTTCTTTTTTGGCCTTTAAAATTGGTCAAGTACCCAAAAAAAATTGAAGATCTTAAATCGATATTTATTATTTTATTAAATATAAATGAACCGCTTATTAACTCGAATGAATTGAACTTTAGGAATTGAACCTATTCAACTAATAATTAAGATCAAACTAGCAGTGCAAGTTCAATATACCTTTAATCAGAAAATTAAAATACCACCGAGCCTCAAGGCCATCCAGCGCGTAAAGAAGTTCACAATAAATATAGAATCACATTGTAATTTAAGAGGGTGAAAACCCTCAAGCATGTCCTCAAATTTTTTTCTTACTGTTACAATTGATTGCTTGATTCCTTGAGGTTTTCTTTTACTGTAAAAAAGGCCCTTCACTTTGCGGAATTTTTTCCCAGTTGGTTGTTGATTGCCTTTTGCCTTTTTTTCCTTTTTTTGTTTTTTGTTTTATTCCTTGTTACCTTGGTTTTTTTTCGGCATTTTGGTAGGGGGAAATTTTTTTTTGCCGTTTTTTTTAAAAGTTTAGGAAAATTTTTTTTAATTTTTTTTTTTTTTATTAAATTTTTTTTTAAAAACTTAATTTTTTTATTTTTTAATTTTTGCTTGGGTTTTTTTTGTTTTTTTTTAAAAAAAAAATTTAAAACAATATAACTTTTAGTACCTTTTCGCTTAATTTTTTTACATGTTTTGTTAGCAAATGCTAATCTTACGTAACAATTTGTAAAATCTCATATAAGATATTCTTGATTTAACAATATTCTTCCATGAATCATCCCCGTAAGATGTCAGTAAAAGTGAGAATTTGACATAAAGTTTCAAGTTGAAAGAATGAAGTTGTTAAATTGAAATTATCTCCACTGCACTATATACAACAGCATTTGCATGAAAAATATGCTTGTATGCATATGCACATTTGCACTGAGGAACAACCTCAGTACATAGACTTTCATATATTGCATTTGACAATTATCAAAGCAAAATTAAAGGGAAAAGTTGTAGTGCCAACTAAATGGAAGAAGTTAAGCCGAGAGAAAGATGAAGTTTGGCACTAATAATCAATGCCTCCTCAATCATTTCAAGAGCAGCCCGAACCACATCTGCTCCTTCAAGTTCTTGAACGCCACCTCAACTTTACTGAAGAAAGGCATCGCCAATTTTTGCCATTTGGGTCATCGTCTATGTCATCTCTGATGAATCACTTCTCTCCGACGGTGGTAATCACGATGATGATGACGGAAGCGAGGATTATGACGTCGATTAGGGAAGCAGGATTTGAGACTGACGCATGCAGTAGACGTCGCAGGCTTTTGTTTCTGTGAAGGGAAAGATTTTCTGGAGCTTTGGAAAAAAACAGGGGGCGTAGCCCAGGACGTTGCCGACCTCCGTAAAGAAGGAGAGCCGGAAACGGATACCAGTAAACAGAAAATAAAGGAATATAAGGAAAATCCACAAAAGAGAAAGGATCTTCAATATATGTCCTTTGCAATAGTATGGAATACAAGAGAAAGGAATTTAAAAAGATTGAAGAATGCCAAAATAATTGAACACCCAATAAAAAAATACAAACACTTTTATATTAACATATATCATCTGTTACTAAACTGACACAAATCAACTGGTAACTAATAAGTCAAATAAACACGTGTAACTTCTAAGACTTTTATACATGTTTTTAGAGTGTTATGTAATGTTTGGAGTTTTAAACGATATATGTAGAAAAAGTTTGTCTTTCCCCCCTAGCTGTCCTAATTTCAGTTTTGTTATGAATTTAAAGCTACACTAATTGCTCTTGTTTACTGTATTACCCTATTTGGATTAGTTTGCATCATAAATTTTTAAATGAATTTCTATTTTTAATTAAAAAGAAAGTGTTTTCAAGCAGCATGGCACTTTATTCAAGTATGCAAATCAAATGCGCGGGTGGGAGACTATGATTCACAGTTACTTGGGCTTGGTGGATAGCTAGAAAAAATTGCGTTATTCAAAAACACCATAATCGACGACGGAAAGTTGTTTGCTTTGTCCAGGTAGAGTGTGAGTGCTACAGCAATATGGGGAACGGAGGTACCGCCGCTGTTGCTGCTGAGTCTCAGAGCCCCATTAAGAAGATTATCACTGTTGCAGCCATAGCCTCCGCTGTCGAGTTTGGATGGGCTCTGCATCTTTCTCTTTTGACCCCTTACGTACAGACCCCTGGGGTTCCCCACGCATGGGCTTCGTTCATCTGGCTCTGTTGGCCCCTCTCCGGCCTCGTCGTGCAACCAATTGTAGGCTACTACAGTGACCGTTGCACCTCACGCTTCGGCCGTCGCCGTCCTTTCATCACCATCGGGGCCGTGTCCTTCATTTTTTCTGTCTTCCTCATCGGCTTTGCCAAAGACATTGGCCATCGCGGGGGTGATTCGTTGGAAAAGTCCTTAAAGTCCAGAGCGGTGGCCATTTTCGTGGTGGGCTTTTTGGTTCTAGATGTCGCCAACAACATGCTCCAATGCCTATGTCGGGCCCTCCTCGCCGACCTCTCCACAAATAACCACAAAATGATGCTGACGGCCAACGAATGGTTCTCTTTCTTCATGGCCGTCGGAAACGTTAGCGGCTACCCCGCCGGTTTCTACCCAAAATTCTACAAAATCTTCCCCTTCACTAAAACAAAAGCCTGCGACATCAACCGCGCGAATCTCAAATCCTGCTTCGTAATCGACGTTATCCTCCTGTTCATCGTTACCGTAACCACCGTCACCAAGGTGACGGAGAAGTCGTTAACGAAGGAAGCTCAAGACGAAGACGCCGAGACGTTCTCGACTTCCTTTGTCGGCGAGCTTGTCTTGGCGTTGAAGAGGTTGAAGAAACCCATGTGGATCTTCCCATGGACCTGACTACACCCTATCTCCCCCAGTGAACATCAAGTTCTCTGCCTTAGCAAATTAATCAAGTCCTTCGTAACTTGTAGGGATAAACGGGGAAAGAATGAGAGAGAGAGGTAGAGAGAGAGTGAGAAGGGAGCGAGGTGGACATCGTTCAAGGGATAGACAATCAGCACTGATCTGGGAGCAAGGTGGATCTCGTCGAAGAATCTACCAAAGGACCAGGGATCCGAGAGTTTTGGGGAAAACATGGGATGATCAATACCAGGGTCGAAAAATGCAGAGAGATGGGCCGTATAACTGGGGTCTCTACAAACAAGCAACAACATTTTTCTTTACCAATGTTCCAGAAGACTGGAGCTATGAAGAAATGTGGAACACGTTCTTGAAATTTGGCCGAGTGTATGACATCTATTCCCCAAATAGAAGGAGTAGGAATGGAAGTAGATTCGGCTTTGTGAGGTTTCTAGGGGTGACAGACAAAATGGAACTGGAGAGAAAGCTGGATCAGATCCGGGTAGGAGACCAGAAACTGTGGGTGAATATGCCCAAGTATGATGCTGAGAGGCATGAAGATGGGGTGAAAAAAAAAAGAAAAAGTTACGGAATGATGAAAATAGATCAGAAGAGGAGTTATGCCGAGGTGGTGAAAGGAAAAACTGAGAAGGTAATAACAGGGGATCAGAGCATTCAAAGCTTGGTGGGCCGAGACAGAAGCAGAAGAAATGAAAAGGATTGTAAGAAGTATGCAGGGCAAGACAAGCAAGGGAGTTTCAGTTATAGAAGTAGACACCAGTACCGGCATACCGCAAATAGGAAGGTGTGGAAAGAAAGAGGAAGGGGAGAGAAATGGGCAGGTATGGAGTTCAACGTTGAACCTGAAGAGTATGCCTGGCTTGAAGGCAGCTATGTTGGAATTGTGCACTCTGTAGAGTTAGTTCGCAATTTACAAGAAAAATTTTTTATGGAGGGGTATTTTTCTTGTAAAATCCGAGCAATGGGAGGCAAAATGGTTCTGTTAACAGGCCAAGATAAGGAGGAAGTGAAAGACTTAGTTGAAATGGCTCCAGAGTGGTTAGGGCAATGGTTTGAAGAGGTGAAGCCGTGGACACCACAGATGACAGCAAAAGAGAGATATGTGTGGATAAGGTGTCAAGGGGCT